AACTTTCTTGCGCAAGAGCATCTATGCAGTGCGGACGCTCTCTTGCACAAAAGCATATTGCTTTAGCAGTGTGGAAATGCTTTTGCGCAACAAGTTTTTGCAGAAGGTCTCTTCCGCAAAAAGCTTCTTGCGCAAAAACACTGCAGTGTAGACAAAGCCTTAGTTCCTGTGCCTGACCACAGCAGACTCAAGGAGGAGCAATTGCAGGGAAAAATCCTACTCAGTCTGTGAACCCCGAGGCTGAAGCATATTTCAGTATAGATACAATCTCAAAAAAAAAAAAAAAAAATCTAGCTGTCAAACTCTGTCATCCCCCGAGTCTGTGAAAACGTAGATTTTTAGAGGGTCATAGTCTGTTCAAATCTGATCAAGTTTTAACAGGGATGGTAGAAAACGCATATCCGAGGCACCAGGGAGACGCCCCCACGGCCCAGATTTCAAGTCCCTACTCCAAAGCACATATATGCTCAAGCTTCTCAAACAAACTACTAGAGTTTCATATTTTCCTTTAACTTGAAACTGACTAAGAGCTAACCCATTTTTGATGAAGTTTTCAAAAGTAATTAAGCCTCTGGCAGATACCCAGCATGGAAAATTTCAACCTAGATAGTTAAAGTTTGACAAAGTTAGAAGCAACTGAAAAAAGAATCTTATAAGAAATGTCAGGGAACCTTGGGTGTAAGCATGACCAACTGCACCCTATACAACTCTTCAATTTTATTCCTGGCTCTGCAAGTGTCTCATCAGCCTTGTTTCTATTGTAAAAATTGATGTGTAAGCTATCAAGTGGTCTCCTCAATTCAGTGATAACATTTTGCATCCATACACAAAAACATTCCCAGTGATGCAGAGACAACTCAGTCATTGTTGGACTAACCTTGATTCAAGCAAACAAACCATCCAACAAGATTTTACTGCTGCATTGCCTGGTGTTGCTCTATCTTTAGATTGTGTATTAACTATAGAGATGACTTAACCCCAGTTATCCCTGGGGATGTTTGGGTTGACAGATTGTTATTCCATATGATTATACAGATGGGACCCACGATGTGCACAATTGCAACTCTCACTTATAGGAACATCTATATTTACAAATATAGTTATTTATATGATTAGCAGTCACAAAAAAAAACCATTAGTAAGATAGATATACTACAGAATGTACATCTGTACTTACACACACCCACAACCAGAAGTATTAGCCATTATCTACCTGTTCCTCCTTTTTCCCAGCACCACCAGTGGCCATCATTCTGGTACCTCTGAAGGACTCTCTCTCTCTCTTCCTACTGCACCTACACTAGAATGCCACTTCTATACTTTGTACTGACACTATTGCTTGATGAATATTCAGCAGGGGAATTTTCACCTTTTCCTTATTTGTATTTTTTCACCTACCTAACAATGGAGTGTTTTCTTAGAGGTTAGTACATCAGTGATCTCAACTTATTTTATGTTATGTTAATTGGTTACCCAACCACTCAAGGGCACTGGTTTCACATTTGTTATTTCTGGTTATTTTGGTTTGTTGCAAGTTGTGGTTAGTAAACACCCTACATCAACCTGCTTTAACACATGGAACTTATGCTTCAGCTTATCACCTAAGTGAAAGGTCTGAAGATGTGAGACAACTTTGCTATCAGGGTGAAAGTTTCTGGGACCTATGTATGCTAACGCTGCCTTAGCTCAACATACAGGATGTCGCCTGTAATCTCTTGCGTCACAGCCAAACTATCTTAATGAAAACCCATAAAACAATCAAACACAAAGAAATAAAGAAACCCATAAGAGATATAAGCAAACTAGAAAGTTAAGCCTAAAGGCTACCTGCTGCCCTTTGACAGAGTAATTTGTAAAATGAACCTTATCGCATAAGTATGGATGTTGATTGCCAGGCATTTGTGGGCCCAGTTTCAATGCCATTTTCCACCGCTTGGTGTACAAAAAGGGCACCAAAGATTATACTCTGGACTCCGGTATGTTTCTGGAATGGGCACCGTGTGTGTATATCTATCTGTATCAGTTATGGTAACCTAGGCTAGTGAATGAATCACATTAGTGACCCTTTCATTTAGGTGGGCTGCATAATGGTAATAACCAAGACAGTTTCCCAGCATAAAGTAGTTTTACTAACTGCGCTTGCATACCTGAAATTGGCAGGTCATGCTGATTGACACGTAGCAGCGCTTTGATTGGCTGCAGAGGGAATGCACAGCTCTTACAGTCAATGTTGTGTGCAATCAATGTGCACTTCACATACCCTTGCTTTATGCATGTGTCACTAATACCAGCAGGGGAAAAAGACTATATGGAGGGAAAGCAGTGGAGTCCGACTATTCTGTGCATGGGCAACAGTAAACAAAATCTCCCATGAGCCACACATAGAACCCCAAATGGGCCACAGGAATATATATATTCCATGAAAATATATATATATTTTCATACATCATCATCATGTCTAGATCTTTGCTTATATCCATTGAGTTTACAATGGATCCATTGTAAAATAAAGAAAATAATCCCTATTGTCATTCATTGGACAACACCACATTCTTTTATTCCATCATGTGTCAGACTGCTGAAGACTCATCACCTTCATTCATTAATTGGTAACAGGTTAGGTTTTTTTTTTGGTGGGGGAGGGAGCTTTATGCTCATGGTTAGTAATTTCTATGTGGGTCTCCTTACAAGCCAACAATTACTATACCTGCAACCCTGGCAAGGGAATACAAGTCAAGAAATGTGGGTATACTTTGGATAGTTAAATCCTAGTAGGCTGGTTAGATTGGAGGATGGTGAGGTTTTCAAAAGTGGAAATAGGGGAAATTACTTGATTTCCCAACAAAGTAGGTTGCCTTGGAGTAAAACAAATTTGAATTGGTGACATATGCTGAAAATGCCAATTTCTCATGGTAATCAACACCAATGTGCCCCTGGGTCAGCATCATTAGGCATAATAATTATAATTATTCTGTAATTTCTCTTCCCGTAGTCCACACAAAACAGTGCGTCTCAAAGCACACTACACTTAGAGATATATTGAGGCCCTTAACCTCTATTTTCAGCTCCTCAAAGATTCAGAGTTTTCTACAGGGCTGTTTTTCTGTGCAAAGTTTATTTGTTTAAAGTTCATAGCCCTCAAAAATATAAAAGAGTTGAGCTATAGTAGCAGAAGGGATGTTAAGTATTGATTAACTCAACAGTCGAGTAACCTCATGAATTCTTATCAGTTACTCAACTATTCTATAGTACCCGGGGTGGGGCCGACAGCCAGTGCGCTTTGGCCCCACTCCTGAGTTGCACCCTGCCACTCCACGTTGCTGCCTCTGCAGCAGAGGCAGCAGCATGGGGTGGCAGGCAGGAGCTGGTACACAAGGGAAGCTAGTTTAAAAATACAGCTCCCCTCTCGGACCAGCTGCCTGTTGCCCCATGCTGCTGCCTCAGATGCAGAGGCAGCAGTGCGGGGTGGCAGTAGCCCTTGTCTGGGGAAGGAGGGGTCTGAGCTCCAAGACCCAGCACAAGCTGGAACTGAGCTGGGCTGACTGCCTGCCTAACTCCTAATACACTTTAAATGCAGAGCCTCAACAGTGGTAGGTCTTGGACCTGGTGCCAGCCAGGACTGATCCAGGCTACTGGCCAGCCTGCTAAAAAATTTACTAACAGCGGGCTGGTGGTGGTTGGGGGATGGAAGAGACGACAGACAGACAGGACAGACATGTGTATCGTCTATAGCATTAATCTATAAACTTTTGCTTATTGGTTAATTGACTACATCAGGTGGTGGGGAAACTGAGTCAGGGCCACTGACCCACAGAAAAGTCCGTCAGGGGCCACACACAAGTAAAAAACCTTTACTGTGGCCCCTCACTGAGGAGAAAGACACTCCCTACATTCCCCTCACAGACCAGAGCCTAGGGGGGCCCAGGCTAGTAGATTGTGTGCTCCAATCCCATGAGTGATAGCGGGGGGACTGGAGTGCCAGCATGGGCTCCCCAATGCGGGGGGGGGGGGGAAAGAGGAGGTGAGGGGACCCTGAGCTTCAGGAGCCAGACAAAAAAAACTGGGGCTGCATCTGGCCCTGGGCCTCAGGTTCCCCACCCCTGGATCGCATTATCACATCCCTAAAGAGCAGTTAATATAACGAAGGCAAACTAGCCCATGGGATATACTAGTAAACTCTGTTCACATGTGTAAAAGCTTCAAACTGTGCAGTCCTCTCATTTCTACTCCAAGAAGTCTACACTACACTAGTGAACTTTAGGTGGCCTTTCAGCACTTCCCTGCAGACATTTCAGGTTAGCTGAAGTAAAAGAGAAGCCCTTTCAAAATTATTCAGAAAACAATGCTCCAGGCACAGCTCGACTGGGAACTGTGATTGGGAGATAGAGCAATTGCAGCAATAAAGAACAGTGCTAACAAATGTATGGCAAAACTATAGTGGGCATGAAACCAAAAAACCATCATTAGTGGGAACAGATGGCACCATTAATAGTTATGTTGGTAAGCGAACTGGTGAAACTGCACCACCAGTTCAATTATCTAGCACAGAAAGAATCACTGTATAATGAACAATTAGTGTCCAAGTCTGTATTAAAAAAAAAAAAAAAAAAAAGGTTTGTTTCTTTTCACATGTGCAAAAACATAGGCTACCATAGGGAGAGGATTACATGTTGGGAAGCTGATCCCTTGCTCCCACTCATGCTGTGCAATTCATTTCTGCCCCAAAATGCATTACCCGAACTTCTCAAAAAGAGTGCACCAGCTGGCTGCATACCACATACCCATGGAGCACCACACTGTGACCAGGCACAAGTACTCCTGGCAAGTTTGCACAGTACTTGTGTAAGAAGCCCAAAGTATCACTTGTGCATGTGATTACTAATGATGGAAGCTTTATGCCAGTGTCACTCATTAACCAAAGCTTGTAGTGTAGACATGGCTTTAGAATGGATCATCTTCAGATGATCGTGTTATGCAAGATAAAAGTATTATTTACATACCTGATGCAATGTTAATCCTTGAACTACTACTCCTTTCTGGGTATCTTCACGGACAGCCAATGGTCCTGAATTTACTAGCAGGTCACGGATCTGTTCATTGTAGACCTCCAGAAAAACAAACACTTTAAAATTAAATCCTATTGTTTTTAAGAAGGTTAAAGCAAGAATAATTTTGCTCTACTTTCACGTATAATTGTGTGTTCAATTGTCTTTAAATAAAGCAAACTTAATTCTGTAGGAGAAAAGTTTTAACTAATTCTCTTTCCCCAGAGAGAATACTCATCTGTAGAGTGTAATTTATCAGAGTTAAGTGTATCAAATTATAACTAGCGACGTTAAAATGTGTTTACAAATATACATATTTTTTAATGATTACATGCAGAGGACAGGCAGTGCTCCTCCCAGATCCCAGTTTCTATATTAGAGGCAGCAGCACGAAGCACTTGGAAAGAATTCAGTGACAGACATGTTTATGTCTAATACAGAAACCTTGCAGCACATATGCACTGATCCCACATTTCTTCTCTGTGCTCTAGCAGAAACTGAAAGATCATATTGTTTTCATTTGCTACAGCTATCTCTTGATAGCAATGGTGAGAAAGCATGTGCAAGAGTAGCATTTTGATGGAGAGAAGATGGAGGAGAAAGGGTCAAGTACAATCAAGCAATGGAAGGAGGTAGTAGTAGATAACTCATTCTACAAACCACTGACAATGCATTTCAGTTGAAATGTCCTTATTTTCAAATATTTGTTGCCTGAGTCCCACCAGAGAAATCCTTTCAATTTAAGCACTACTGTAGCAAACTCAAATAAAAAAAAATCTCAAACAAAAGAAAAGAAAATGAATCTGAATTACAGTCAAGTTATTCCACACTATTCATAGACAACTTCAGGGCTGAGCCCCACTTAAATATCAGCTAATTCAATTTTGTTGCACATAATCTCAGTGTTTATAAGCATGTGTATTTAAATAATTTGGAGAAAACTGATCATTGGAGTGGTTAATGAAGTCATTCGAAAAATTGCTTACTGGGCAACAGCCTATTTTAAGACTTTATCCTATAATTATCTCCCTATTATTGAGCACAATTCTGCGCCATCTCTAGTAGGATAGCTCTCTTGAGAGCCCAGTTTATGCCATTCTGTAATAGGCTCCCGAGACTGATTTCACAGTATTTAATATATGAAAATATTGTTTATTGATAGCAGTACTCAAAATATAGTTGTTAGCTTACCTCTAGGTATGAAACTGCAACAGTACACAATTTATCTTCTTTTATTTGATCCATGCAATTGTAAAGGTCCATCATGGTTAGATACATGACTCCGGGTTCTTTAGGTGAGCCCAGCATTGTGTACGTCTTTCCTGCTCCTGTTGCGCCATATGCAAGCACTGAATTTTCAAAAAGATAGAGTAATACATCACTGCAATAATTATTAAATCTATCATAATCCCAATATTAAATTTCTTACAAAAAATAGGTCTTCTCCTTTGTCTGATTATATAAAAAAAAAAAAAGACAAAATAAATAGTGAATCTCCTGTCTCTGACTGCTAGTGATGAACTTGTAACTGTTCAAAATTAATGTTAGTATCTAAGTGAGACTTCTAGAAATTAAATATGATTTGGTCAATTCATGGAGACAAACTGAAAAGTTACCTGTACAGTTGTATCCATTTAAAAAGCCATCAAGCACAGTTTTGGTAGTGTGTTCAAAAACTTCTGATTGAGATGAATTTTCATCAAAAACAGCATCAAATACAAATTTGAGATCCTTGTTTTTCTTCTTGTTAATATCTCTATATCCTACTTTCTTCTTGTGAAAGAAACTAACTTCCTCTTCTTTTGGATCAAAGACCAGTATGTGCTTGTCTACAACATGAAGCACTTTGCTAAAGTTGCCATCTTTTTCTTTTTGATTCTCTGGACGGACACGGACCACCACTCTTACATGATTGCAAATATCTTCCTGGGTAGCAGTAGACATAACGATGCTTTGGTTTAGTTCTTCTTTGCTACCAAGAATTCTCCAGACCAAGTAACCGAAATCTCATCTGTAAAATATAACAATTGTGAGATTAGTTTAGACTGAAGCTTTGCAATTTTTCTCATGGCCCAAGACACAATCTACAAAACACACAAGCCTAATTTTTAATGTTTTTAGGTTATTTCGTCAAGGCTTAAGTAGTACTTTTCATATGTTTTTAAGATCAAATTAGAGCCACTTGTCTTTTCAGGATATCTAAGGAATAATACTCTTGAATTTCCACCTTAGGATCCAAATCTTTAAATATAGTGTACAGAAAAATCCATGTATTGTTAAAAAGTCACATACCTTACAAACAGACAAGATGCTAGTTTAGAGCTTTATCTATATACACATACATATAGACATTACAACACTGCTGTGCAGTTCATCATATTGCTGGAGTTCCTTAAAAAGAATCAAATTGCTGAACTATTATCCTCAAAAAGTGCAGTATTTTCTCCCCTTTCCCATGTAGTACAAGTTTTGTTTTTCTTTCAGGTTTTGATAGTTTACAGTAACGAATTTGAGAACTGAAAAACAGCTCAGATTTAAGATCGGCCCTTGAACTATGTTCCTGTCCGATGCTGTGCTGACTGATGTAGATACAGATACGCTACATGCTAATGAGCCTATGTTGACTGAGCAGTACATATGTAAAATTGTACATGTCATCAGTTTAAAAATACAGCTTGCAAGTTAAAATATTGGCCCATTCCTGAAAGGTTGAAAAAACAACAAATGGTCCTGCAGCACCTTAGAGACCAACAAAAAATGTAGATGGTATCATGAACCTTCCTGGGCACAACCCTTCATCTGCAAGTTTGACACCTTTAATCAAGGTTTGATCCTGACCTGGCTAGGCCGCAACATTCAATAGACTAATGACATCAAAAGTTAAGAATCAGGCACTTGCATCCCATTCTATTAGACTCATTTAGCATGGGACACTAATTGACATTCCCCTTCCCCATTCCCTCTTTTTCTACTATTTATTTGTAACTCTGGACCCCTTGCTCCATTCTTCTGAAGTGGGTTGTGCCCATGAAAGCTCACGATACCATCTACATTTTTTGTTTGTCTCTAAGGTGCTGCAGGACCAGTCGTTTTTAAATGTTTTTTTTTTCAGTTACAGACAAACACTTCTACCTTTCTGAGTCTTGAAAGTTTGTGATTTCAAGCCAATGATAATGAAATTCATAGAAAGGTTTGGGGAGACCCCCCCCCCACTAACCCACTCCCCGATGGTAACTTTTCTCTTAATGAGGGAGACCCAAAGGGCACAAAGCCATTGTTTAATTTAGTTAAGCATGTATGACTATAAATATAAATATACAAATGAAAATTGATACAGTACTGTTTTTCTAAGGACTTGGCAGGTCAGGGCTGGAGGAGCCTGGCTGCCCACTGTGATCTATCTGGACTCTGGTTAAGCAATTAAAGTTATATCGGTTCATTGGTTAAAATTTTAAAGTGGTATTTACATCCCTTGTTTACAGGGAAGATTCAACCCTAACCTTAGTTTCAACAGCTTAAAAAACCCCAGTAAATATCAAGTCACAAAAATATGAAGATCTTGATTTCTCCTTTGTACAAACATTAAATTACTTAAATATAAACAGAACCCGGAGAAAAACATGTAAGATGGAGTCAATATAAAGTTCTAATTGTCTTGGGGCGAACGTGATTTACAGGAACACCAGTAACTTGAATTCTAGACAATTTCAAAGGAGACAAAGGAAGTCTTCCAACTTCTCTTTGTTTTTGCTTTTAAAAATCTTTGGACTTGATCTTACAGAGCGCTCCATGTTGCAGATCCCCATGCCTCTGCAGAGCTCCTCTGGAGACCAGCATTTGAGAATAAGCATGTCGTCTGTCTGTCGCGAGCGACAGAGCGATAAGGGAGACTGATCACGCAGGAGAAAGAAGGAAAGTAGTCGCACTCAACCGCTTTCAGATAAGTTGGGAACAAATGACTTGTCTTTCGGAACCATCTCTCGCGCAGGAAGCAAGCGTTTTTCAACACAAGTATCAGTTTTAAACGGGCAACGTCCCTTTAATTCACAGCCTGTTTATGGCGGCGGTCTGGTGTCCTGCCCTCCGATAAGCAAGACAAACACTCCCCGTGTCCCTCCCCAGACACGCAGCCCTGCGCACAGGTGCCCCGTGGGCGGCGCGGCTCGACTTGGCCCGCGGCGCCAGGCAGAGCGGCTCAGCTGTAACAAAGCCCGGTCGCCCCTCTCCCGGAGGCGGCTCGAGCTCGTTCAGACGCCTCCTTCCTACCCCACGGCTTGGCCCAGGCACCTCCTCCCCGACAGTCAGGTAGCGGCTATGAGGGGCCGCGCTCACCTGGGCGGCGGGGGAGGGGGGGGTGCTTCTCGCTCTGCGCGGGGCGCGCCCGCCGCCCGGCACCTCGTTCGCTGGTCTCACTCTACCAAATTCAAACACAAGCGGCCCGCCTCCCCCTCGCCACCTCATTGGCTCGCACGGCCATGACGTCACCCATGCGACTGCGCCGAGGGCAAGCGGGATTGGTTTCGAGCCGAGCGGGGATCGATTGATCCGGGCTGGCTCAGTCAGTTCAGCCCTTGCAGGCCTGGGGCGGGAGTGGAAGGGGGGAGGATGGGCCACGCCAGGCCACTGGGGAAACGTGCTTCGCGACTTTCTGCTTAGTGCGCTTGTTCGTGCGGGCTGTGAGCCCGTGAGACCGCGGAATATAACGCCGAGAACCCCCCTCGGGGTCCTCTGATCTGCCTGGGGGTGGGCGGCAGCGGGCAGGTGTCCTACCGGGCGGGCCTGCAGTCCTAGATTGCAGGAGAAAAGCATCGTGCGCAAAGGGGTGAGTGGGTGAAGATGTATCAAGCCCACACGGCGGGGGTGCGCCTGATACTCAAGGGGCCTGCATGCTACGCTGTACTGCGTTTGTATGAATAAATCACAAAGGAAGCTGAGCACATTTTGTAAGGGGACTGGTGAATGTTGTTGAAATCAACCGCAATTCACTTTAAAAGGCAAACGGCTATTCACGAATAATCTGTTGCACTATCTATATGCAGCTGTTTCTATATGTTGTGTACAGAGCAGGTAGCATGTCACACTCGTGTAAAAGCAACAATGGAGCAACGTGCCTTGCATGGATGCAAGCGCTGCTTCTGGCAACAAAATGTATTCAAGAGAAAGATCAGAACAGAGGTTGGGAAACGAGCAATAGTTTATCATGCCCATAAAATATTACGAGGTTGGACTAAAACTGGATTCAGCCTTAATGATTAAGTCGTGACTAGCACTTCTGTAGTACAACTGGGATATGTGTGTTTAGGTTGTGTGTATACAAGTTGGTGGTATTGATGATGTGTGTGAGAAGGGGCTAGTACATATCTGAACTGGATTGGTTTACATTTAATGTATACACATGTTTTTCTCTGCAGTTGAAGTGGAGGGGTGTGAGGTCGCTACTGACAAATATGTGTCCGAGATAATAAAACCCCAAACCGTGCGAAACTTTAACCGGGGCAGATCTTACATGCCTGCCACTGGCAGATACTGAAGTGACTTCTAAAACTTAGGCAACAGTTGCCTGAGTATTCATGCCCGTGAGATACTAGCGAGTTGAAGTGCAGACGAGGGAATGATGCATGTGCGTTTGTATGCGTGTGGGTTGTGTACAGGAAGTGGTAGTAAAACCCAGCTGACAAGCGTGTAGCGGGGTTTGTCTGCAGTTGGCAGGCGCGATGATGGGTGGTGTCTTTCCAGGGGCGCGCTAATGTTTATACACACTGTCGGGTGTTGGTGTATGGCCGGGAGCGGGCTGTGCACAGAGGAGCTGGGGTGGTTGAGTGAAGATGGTGGTCTGGGCGGAGAAGGAATAGAGGGTACGCGGGGCTAGGGCCCAGGGCAGAATGTGGGTTGTGGAAAAGGCTGGCTTGAGGCTAGTCAACTGGGGGTGTGGAGAGGACACACGACTCTGGGGCGGCTGGGGAAGACCCTGGACAGTTTCTCGGGGGAGGGGGGTTTACACCGCCCCAGGCCCTGAGGGGCTCCCCG